GCTATAAGACACAACTCTTCCTCTTTTAATAGGATTCATTTTGGTGTCCTGAACTATTTGTGGCATGGTATAATTTTGCAGGTAGACTCCATCTTTTCAACTGACCTCTCCTTTAGGTCTCGGTAAGAGTACCATGTTTCCCCCAAACTGCTACCCATTAAAAACATTTTTTTTTGTATGATCTTGCTTAATTGTTAAACATAGCAGGACCAGCCCCTTGTCCTATACACAGAAAAAATGCTTCCAAATGTTTCTGTAATGGTTTTTAAAATTTGCACAACCTTCAGGTCTTTTGTTTTATTCACACCCACTGACTGGTTATCCTCTCTTCTGAGAGAAATGGAATTTTTCTTTCAGAAAGAAATGTAAACATACTTCTGATTGTACAACACACTTACAAATAAAATCGTGAAATAAGAGACTCCAGGTTGGATTGCCCACTTCTCTCCCTGGCCACTGGAATGCTTAAGAGAATAAACTAGGCATGAGGGAGGAAAATTAACACAAGGTGTTTCCCTGTGGCTGGTGACTCACAGACAGGAGAAAACCTGCCGTGATAAACTAAAAACAGGGTCGCCTTGGAGTCTTTTATGGAGTATGCAGACTATGCCTGAACTCCATGCAAATACTCAACCACTTAGGCCCTCAAGGTGCCTGGACATTGAGTTTCCCAGTATCGGAGGGTGCTTTCCCCTCAAAATCTGTCCAGTTCAGCCCAGAGGGAGAACCTCAGAGAGCATGCTAGAAACCGGCTTCATGAATCATGTCCTTTAATTACTACACAGTTTTAATTATGAGACTTAGACTTCCTCTAAGCACCTTTGATCTTAAAAGAAAAGCCTGATACAACTAATATTCTTGGATCCAGACATTTGATCCACATGATTAAATACTGCTAATTACATAAACATGTTAGAAAATAATATAATCTACTTTCAAATGAAACGGCCTTTTAAAAACTCAGAGGTGGGGCTGGCTAGACAGCTCAGTGGATGAAGGTGCTTGCCAGCCACTAAACTCCAGGAACCAAGTTGAGTTCGAAGGACCCACTTGGTGGAAGGAGGGAACGGACTCCCACCAGTTGTGAACTCACTCCATATGAGGGCTGTGGGACACGTACCTTATAAACAAACAAGCGGATATAATTTTAAAAAGGAAACAAACGAAATTCCTTTAAAAGCCTCAAAAGTGGTATTCTTTCCCCCAGCGTTATCTAGGAAAATCTACAATCTAGGACAACAGTTCTTCTCATGGAAATATCATTAGCAATATAGGAGTTAACACATATCTTGAGCTGGCTGGATGGCTCGGTGGTCAATAGCACTTGCTGCTCCTCTCCTGAAGGACTCAGGTTTGGTTCTTTGGCCCGAATTAGGTGGCTCACTTTTGATCCAGTTCCGGGTGGTCCGATGACCTCTTCCGGCTTCTGTTTGCATTCTTTCTCTCTCTTCCTTTCCTTCTCCCTCAAAAATTAAAAATAAAAATAAAAAATGCATTTTTTTTTTTCCAATTGGCTTTTCAAGACTAAACTTCTCAGTGTAGCCCCTGGTTGTCTTGGAACTCACTCTGTAGACCAAGCTGGCCTCAAACTCAAGAGATCTGCCTGCCTCTGCCTCCGAGTGCTGGGATGAAAGGCATGAGTTACACCCCCCCCCCAACCTCCCCCCCACTCCCGCTAAAAATGCTTTTGAAACATAATAGAAGGGAGAAGACAACTGCTGGAATGTAAATGCTCATTAATTGCAGCTTAGCTATCTACCAATCCATTCTTGAACATACCAATGAGTTCTGGTAAGTTCTGCCCAGAAGATACGTACGCACAGTCCGTGGCAGATGCCTCCTTCTTCCTCGCTTGCTCCTGGAATCGCTGCATCTCTAACATGCCTGCCCCTGCTGTGTTGCACAGGTGATTGCATTTGAAAACATAAACCACACCAACCGCCCCTACGACTTTATTTTGGACTGAATGAATTAACTTCACAGTAGGTGGCTGAGGTACCTAAAGAAAGACTTGACAGCATCACCTACTTCCCTTGGTAGGTGTCTCTAAGCCAAGACAGCTCCTATTCATTTTTAATGAGTGGTATTGAGTGAGAGACATTTTCTCCTAAAGGGCGGAGACAGGTATCAATATGGGCCATGAAGAGTTGTTCACACACAGCCACATGTGTTGGAAAGGAGCTGTGTGTGGAGGGATGGCAACCGTTAGGAGTCCGTGGAGTCGGCAAATGCTGCCATGCTTGGTAGTTTTGATAGATTTTAGCTGGAGGAGTGTGTATTTACATTAAGAAAGTGTTCTTTCCCTTCAAAAGATGTCAAAATAAGGAAACCACCATTGCCGCAGCAATTAAAAATGATACCGCTACAAATGCTGTTGTAATTTATATCGTAGACCCTGAGATGCAGAAGCAAATGCCCAAGATGCTATCTCCCCATCATCAAATGTACCATAGTATAAAATATTATTTTTTATTAAGTGTCTTCTATTATAATATTACCCAGACATGACACAAAAGAAATGAATTGGAAGGACACATGAGGACTAGCTCACACAAAGCTGGTTGACCTTTCCTGTCACATGGCACGTCCCTCTATCATTGTTCTATCTAGTTCAGTAAACGAGAAAATGCTGCTGAAAAATTCCTTGGCGGTTTTGAAATCAGTATCTTCAGATATTTTTAAGCTGTGAAGGAAAGAGAAGGGGGGGAGGAAGAAAGGTAGGAAGAGTTAGGAGGGAGGAGGAAGAAATAGAGCATCTTTGTCCTTTTCTTCCTTCCTTTCTTTCGGGATGGAGTGGAGGTGAATTAACATTCAATGAGAAGCGCAGTACAGAGCTGGACCTCTAGAGACCAGTGGGAGCTGGGCAGGGCTTTACCCACCCACCACAGGGCTCTAGGCAGGAGCCTGACTTCAGACCTGGTTCAAAGCTCCCCGCTGAGAACACAACTCCTCTAGAATGTCTCCAGGAATAAACTCTGACCCCTGCACAACCTAGATTCTTCCAGCCGCAACTTGCACGAGAAATCGGAAGATGACATGTATATTTAAATCCTGGCTTGTAATAAAGGAATGCATCAAGTGGAGGCACAGGGGGATGGGGTGGGCACACTTGGGTGCTAGTGATCAGAAGCAGTTTTGCCAGCGGCACCTTCTAACTTGAAGAAGAAGAGGAGGAGGAGGAAGAAGGAAGCAGCAGCAGCAGAAGTAGTAGAGACAGAAGAAGAAGAAGAAGCAGAAGCATCAACAGTTCACAGAGATTGTTAAAGATAACAGTGAGGGCTAAAAACAGACATTTCAAGAAATAATGAAACTTAGAGTTTGGTTTACTGAAATGGCAATCACCACCACAACTTCTGAGACCTTTTCAGTTAAACAAAAACAAAAACATGCCCACCTGCTCTTCAGGTTTCTATGGATTTAGGAGACTCTCTCTACACAGCCCTCTACCTTCATGGAGGGCTGTCTGCTCTGGCAGCCTCATTGTCACGGGGGGGGGGGGGGGAGGAAGGAGGAGACTTGGTGCATCACTGCTTCAGGGTTCCACTTCTCACTGGGAGTCCGGGGCCAGCAACAGTCTCTTTTATTACCTGGCGGTCACAGTATGGCATAGAACAGAACAACACAAACAAGACAAAGCAGACAAGCCAAACGTGCCCCTCTACCACCTAAAAATGATGAAAGGTTCCATCAAGGCCTTTGTTGGTCCGACATTCATTTTACATTTCCATTTATACAGTTCGCATCGGGATCAAGAGAGCTGATCTCTCTGTACTTTACTGCCTCCAGCCTGACGCTTCACGGTGACAGTTAGGGCTTGGGCAGTCCTGGACTTTGAGGACTGGTGTTGACACCTTCTGGGAAGTTTTACTTGGAAATTCTGATGGCATTTTAAAACCGTTCCGCTCTTCTTGTTTACAAAAAGGGTTATTAACAGAAAGTGGATCTTTCTTTTTGTCCATTTAAGATATTCATCCTCTTGTTATTTATTCCCCATTCAATGCATAATCCTGTTTGGGTCACTATGATTAGTTGCTATGGAAATCACCTCCTATGGAAACGATGCCAGTGTGATTACTGAATGAATATGACTTTTAATGGATAATATCAATAACAGACATCAACCCTTACTAACAAAAGGAAATCTAATTAAAAATTTGAAACAGGATTAATTCTGAAAATTACTATGGTCAAATTTCCCGATAATTTTTGAGTCTGCCGTCTGCTTTTAAACTAAGTATTAAATAAATTTTAAGGCATTAATCAGCCTCTTGCCTCCCTGAATTCCAGAGGGCACAATGGAGATTAACATCATGCCGCAAGCTGAGCAATGGGGGACATTTCATATCCATTTCTCTCACTAATAAGCGTGCTCCTCACTGATGGAATGACAAAGTCAACAGGATCTCAGGGCTCATCAAGGAAATGACTTTGAATCGCAGATTACAAATTCCCTTTAAAGACAAAGAATTTAATATTCTAAAATTTATCCCAGGAATTTAAAAGGTCAACACCATAAACCCTCTGGTTAAACAATAGAAGGGGGGGCGGCAGGCCGTTAGATGAGAATTCCAGAAAGCTGAAGGGGAAATTTTTCCTTGGGTGGATTCTGTAATTTGTGGTTTGAATAAGACCTTTGAAACATTCCATTAAGTATTAAAAATTCTCACAATGAGAATATGGCCTGTATTTAACATATTCTACATTACTAGACACTCTCTCTCCAAAAGAAACATCAATGCGCTCTTCTGCCTACTTATTCACTGCGTGCTACCAATGAAGGAATAAATTAACCCTTCCAACAATTAGGACACTGTCTAGAAACTGCCTCTTTTGCTCTGTGGGGAAAAAAATCACTTCTCTGAAAATGAGAAGTAAAAGAGAAATCCAATTCTCTATTTAAGGGTGCTTTTCTGTGCCTAATAGCTTATTAAGGGTTTATGGAAATTGCTATGGTCTTTACCTATATAATTATATAACATTACACATATAATGCCTCTGACCCAAGCCTCACAGCTCGATTTACACAGTACAAGCCTCCTATACTTGAGTTTGGAGCCACGACCGAGGGTCCAGCATGTCTCTGATGGATTTCTGCCTTGGAGCTGGCACCGGCTTCGCGTCTAAACTGGTTTTGGTGTCTGTGTGTTCTCCATCAGCTGAGCTGTTTTTCCTGGCAGGGAGAAGTTTGCGAGGGGCAGCCACTGGTTTCTGCAAGCGGTGCATGGACGGTGACAATCTGGGATCCGAAGGCAAGGCTCCAGGGACACTGGCCTGTGCCCCGCCATCCCTGGCCTGGTCTGTGCCACTCTGTGTCCTTAGGCTGAAGGGGGGCTGACCAGGAGGAGGAAGCGGAGCTCGCCGCTTTTTCCTTTTCCCATCAGGCGCCGGGTTGCCTGTGGGGGACAACACTTTCTTCTGGATGACCATTTCATGGTTGCCATCAAAAACTGCGGCCCATGGGGGTGGTGAGGCTCTTTCATCCTGACCAATGAGGAACTGTCCGTTGGTCTCTCCAATTTTTTTTTGTATTATGTCAGTTAAGCTTTCAAGTTTCACAGGTGAATCAATACCTGTAAGAATTTTAAAAAGAAACTTCATGGGGGGAAAAAATCCAACAGTCATATGTACTTTATCCAAATAAATTATTATTTTCCAAATCAATATGCTACCTAGGATGACCATCAAAGATGTGGGAGTGGTATAGGTAATAACAACATTTATTTGTAAAAAAAAAAAATAATAAACCTATAAAGAGGGCTTCCAGAGAAAGCTATCATGTACCATACTATAGACATACCCCAGACATCACATATACAACATACACAGTACAAGGAAAATACATAGCACTCACACATACACAAAGCGGGTGGACACACGAGTGCTTCTCGAACTCTTTAGCTTAGATATTTATTATATCGTATCTCTTGGTAGACTTAAACCCACCACTTTGCTCACCAGGAAGCTCACCCTATGTAAACGGAGATGAAGGTACTGAGTTAGCAGTTTTTCATTTAGACCCCTGATGTCTCTGCCGACGATAAAAAGTCAGAGGAAAGACAGACAGACAAAATCCTCCAAAATCAATGCTCCAGGGCAGGAGTCTGAAGCCCTCCCACTATTTTGGTCATAAGGATGCTGGGTAAAATTTTCCTTGAGGAAAATCAGAAGCCTGAGACAGACGTCTACTGATGGAATCTCTGATATTTTAAAGGTATCACTTGGAGTCTAAGCCTGTAAACGCATACATATACACACTTCCTTGTGAGCACACCAGCAGTGGAATAGACAGACGGGACTGTACAGATGAGCTTGGGTACAACACCCTCCAGGAGGCCATCCTGCAGGATTAAACACCTTTCAAAGTGTGGGGAAGCGAGACAGAAATTTAAGAAAGACAAACTTTTGAAGTCCTAGACCTAACTAGCTATTTTTAGCCTGAGCTGAATGCCTCCATTCATTAATACTTCCCTAGCAGTAATACCAAACAAACAAACAAACAAACAAAAACCCCTACTGGGTAAAAATACACAAAATAATGACTGAACATGATTGCATCTTAGAATCTGCACATTTATATTTTCTGAATTTCATCAGCCAAGTACTTTATTCTTCTAAGCCTGGAATTTTCTGTTTGATCGTGAGCATTCAAACTATGAAAAAATACGCATTCATTAATTTTGTATTAATTCATCTATTAAACATGAGCTCCTCAGTCTATAATCATAGTGCTTTTTAAAAAATTCAATTTGACTGTGCCCTGAAAATTTTAGCATTTTAATGTCAATAGAATAAGCGGCTGGGGTGGGACGTGGACAATGTTGTTTTTGTCAGAAGAGGCAAGCCCACTTACTCATATCGCGGTACACGGAGGTCGCCTCCTTTGCCAGGAACAAAGGTGGTTTCCGTGGTGACATAATCTCAATTTTCATAAGTTCTTCACAACAATGCTTCCATTGGCCTAAGCGAAAAAAAGAGAAGCAGGCTAGTGTGAAATACAAAGGTGAAACTATGTATTTCCATTTTCCACCACTATCAGCACTTTGTGTGTGTTGGAAAATAAGTTTATCAGTAAAGCCTCACTTTCAGGAAGCTTGCATGAAAACCCAGTACAATCCACAGTTTCCAAAGCAGATTCTGCATGAGTGATTCATTAAAAAAAAAAAAAAAAAAGAGTTCTGGGTAGACACTGAGCTCTCTAGAACACCACCACACAAAATCATCAACAATCTAATTAAACTTCATATTCACAGTGAAAGTTCACACAGCTTCTTTTCTACACTGTAGATTAAAAAAAAAAATCCAATATTCAAGACGTTTGAAAGACAAAACCCCACTGAAATCCAGTTGGATGAAGAAATGCAGAACTCAAGTCCTCAGATATATCTTGAATTTGAAAATTTTAATTAAGGAAATGAGAATTCTTTAGTAGCTCAACTACTAAGTTAAATTTTCAAAGCATGGGCATCCTCAATGTTTACTTTCATCACTTCACTATTCAAACCTTAACGTTTGTGGGTTTCTCTTCTGTGGATAAAATCGCTTGATATTTGCTGAGTTGCATGTCTGTATACCGCACAATCTATCCAATGACATCACACCGGACCACAGCCCTGCATCTCACATCGCCGGAAAGGTAGGGCCAACCCACCAGATGCCTTCTAAGGTTGATTTACTGCCTTTCCTTTTTTGAATCGTCTCAATGTGTATATTCAATCCGTCCAGCGTGGCAGTTTTCCATGACTTAAAAAATTTAAAGACGCTTTGTGTTTTACTTAATTACATATTCATTTTGTTGTCACAGCGCATGGTGATAAACGCCTACATTTTGAATCCATTACCATAACTAGTTAAGACACATCAAAAGCCTTTCAGGGTATTTTATTATGATGCTGATTATCACACAGCAAACCAACAGGAAATAAGCCTCCAGGACACAGCTGCAGAGGTCCCTCCCTGGGGTCTGAATCCAGAAGCTAGAGCTGACATCTTCCCCCTCCCCCTTCTCTTTTTTAGATAAATATGCAAAAGTCAATTTTTCTTCTTTATTTATTTATTTATTTATTTATTTATTTATTTATTTATTTATTTATTTATTTATTTTTTGTGGTGTATCTGTGTGGGGTAGGGTGGGAGAAACACAGTATTTAATGAAAAGTAATGACTCATTTTAAACGGGTCAGCACTTCTCTTTCATGTTCATGGACGCACCATGCTGTGAAATGATGGTTTCTGCGCCGGGGATCTTAAGATGAAGCGCCTCACGGCCGCACTAGAACCAGAACGCTAGCTGTGCTGAAGTCCGGAATGTAACCCTGTACTGTCCACATGTTCCTGATGTCAGGAACATGCTTTTGCAGCAGAAGCATTCTACAGTGACTAAGTCTGTATGTGTAGAAATCTCTGACAGCCTATTTGCTCACACGAGGTAAATATCAGATAGGATATACTGTGCTCACATAACCTGCTCTTTACTGAAGATGTTTCCCACAATGCTATGTTATCTTATTACACATATGGTGTGTGTGTGTGTGTGTGTGTGTGTGTGTGTGTGTGTGTATGTGTGTATGTGTGTGTGTGCGTGATCACAGGCATGCTGTGGCGATACTGCAGGGGTCGGGTTGACAGCCCGTAGAAGTTGGTTCTTTCCTTCCACCACAGGGATCCTCAGGATGGAACCAGGTTGACAGGCTTGTCAGTGAGTGTCGGTACCTGCTGCCTTCTCACGGCCTCTATCACACCATTTACTGTTTGTGTTCCCTATTACGTTGATCTGTTAGGCCAGGCTGTTCTTGTAACTCAGTACTGAAGTATGTATTTGAAAAGATAAACCCGCAATGATCCAAGTTTGTTTAAGCATTCTCTCTTTGGGCTACCACTCCTAGCTACTGAATATATATATACACACACATAGACATATATATGTTATCCATATATATATGGATAATATATTGATATTTATTGGTATAGATAGAACAAGGGTCATTCGACTTTTTAAAGCTCTCAAAGACTAAATCATCACTCCCCTTTGCCCCTAACCTCCATACCATGGCTGCTCTGGCTAAGCATGCCTATGTCCATCAACGCTTCCTCATGAATCTTCTCAGCTTACTCTCCCATTCTTCCATTCTTAAACTGGTCTGAAGCACTGAAATTTGACCCAAATATTAAGCTATTCTTATGCTACTCCACTCTTGATATCTTCTTCTGCTTTGCTCTACACAGCATACTACCAGAAAGATGAGGACGGCAAGCTCGTCACTAAGATAGTTAGAATAATGAGGCCAGCAAGATGGCTCAATAGACAGAAGGGCTTAGCCCTGAGTCTGAGCTCAGTCCCTGGGAATCCACACAGGGGAAGGAGGGAACTAACTCCCACAGGCTGTGCTCCGACCTGCACACATGCCCTGTAACACACACACACACACACACACACACACACACACACACATACACACACACACAAATGGACACATATACACACAGACACACAGAGACACAGAGAGGCACAAACAGATTAATGTTAATTTTTAAAAAAAAAATGACAAAAAAAATGTAGAAAACTAGAGTATAACTTTATAACTCAGTATTTTGGGTCATTATAAACACTTCCATCATTGCTTCACAGCCATACACAGTATGAAACGTAACAGCATTTGCACTTTAAAAATGACGTTGCCACAACTTTGTTTAAAAAAAAAAAGTGTTTGGCATGAAGGTGATATGAGGAATTCCGTACGTAGAAAGTGGGCCCTCTCCCCGATCCCACTCATAGTGAGACGAGAGTGTTCTGGATTAGTACTTTCAATGGCCTCTCCTCATCACTATGCCCACAGAAAGCATACACTGCCAAGAAGCGTGTCTTAAAATAGTGCCCTTTTGTAAGTCAGACTCTCCAAATCCCAGAGTCTAGGAAAGCAGTCAAAATCCTAACTACAACCAGCAGAAGAAAGGAGGGTACAGGGCAGGCCTAGCAGCACATGTTTGTCACCCCAGAGGCAGGAGGATTTCATGTGTAAGGCTAGCCCCTGCTACACGTGTTCATCACCATCCCCACTCCTGTGTGCCTACCACACCAGCGCTCCAGGACACCAAGTCTGAAGACAGCCAGGGCACGGCTGAGAGCCAGTCTCACAGAGACAACACAACAGAGTGCGGGCTGGCACTGACGTCGCTCACGCTCACGCACACGCTCACGCACACGCTCACGCACACGCTCACACACACGCAGACTTCGGCAACGTAAGCTAAAGAAACTCCAGACAGCTGCAAAGCTGCAGGAGAACCGAGGCACTTCCCACATGCCAGAGGAGGGTGCTTAAGGAAAAGGCCCCGAAGGATTCCCCTCTTCACTGTTGCAGAGCACAGGCCTCTCTGTGTCCTCCTTTTCTCATCTTGAGAGCACAGTCAGGTAATTTACCCAATGGGGGCGTCACAAGAAGCAAGCAGGGCTGTGGAGCACCAAGCCTCCTTCCCTCTCCCTGCCAGTCCTGCCTCCTTCCCACCTTCCACCCTGACACTTTCTGAAGTGCGCATCAGAACAGGCCTGGAAACTGCCCGATAACAACAGGTTTCTTTTTTCTTTCTTTCTTTCTTTCTTTCTTTCTTTCTTTCTTTCTTTCTTTCTTTCTTTCTTTCTTTTTTTCTTTCTTTCTTTCTTTCTTTCTTTCTTTTTTTAAACAGTGGTCCATAAATCACCCCATTGCTTGCATACAATTCTATGGCATGCATGAATCTGTAGCATTCTGTAGACATGAAGTACCGGCTGACTCTAACAGGAGGCTTAGCTGTGTCAGAAGCAGAGGTCCACAACAGCTCCACTTTAAAAACAACATCACATGGGCCGCTCAGTTTACGGCTAAGGCCAAGAATCTACCTGTAAGCCAGGTTCTCATGACTGGAGAACAAAGCCCGAGTCTCGAGTATTTCACGCACAGCCTTGGACTGTGTTACTGAGACGGAAAAGGACATTTGTGGGGCGAACACAGTTCTGGAAGAAGCACATGTTGATATCACAGCAGATCTGCAGTTAGCAGGTTAGTAAAAATGAGACTCCTCTGACCATTCCAGTCTCAAGATGATCATTATCTGGAGAAGGTTTGTGGTATACAGCCATGGTTTTCAGGAAATTAAAAAAAAAAAAAATCTCTGCCACAAATTCTTAGAAATATTTTAGTTTAATATTTGGACTGCTGGGTCTAGGCTCCTAAGTCACAGGAATACACTATTAGAAAACACAATTATCTACTTACTAAGATCAGAGAAATGCTGCCGGAAGGCGCCCATCCACTCTTGAAAGTCTCCCGGGCTGTCAGTCACAAAGGTGTGAGTCACAGCTCCCCCAGCTGCTGTGTTGATGACAGAGAAACGGTGCATTTTCTTCGAATCCTTTTCCATAGCCTGAATTCTGGTTTCCTAAAAATTAGGGGTGGTTTATAAGAGAATAGCTCCGAAATGATCAAATATTTTAGTGCTTCGCTACCATGTTTATGCAAACTGCCTAAGTCTTATGGCTGATGGTTTGAAATTTAAAATGTGTCATTTGAAGAACTTTCAGTCTCCAACCTCAAATCTAGAATGTCTTCAAGAAACATGTGTTATTAAAAATATACTATATACATACACGTATACGATATATTCTGAATGATATGTTCTTGGAACATAGCTTCCATTAAGATCTCGGCTTCCTGCCCATTTATATACATCTTAAAATTGCTGTAAAGCAAGTGCAATATATCGTGGCTTTAGTGTGGATTATATATCAACTATATTTCCAACAGTAATAAAACTGAATCAGCCAAGTGTGTTCCTTCTTTATTCTAATAGTCATACATATTGTTGTTGGTTAAAGTAGTAAAAATGTAAAGTAGTAAAAATGTTTTTTTTTTTTTACAAAAAAAAAAAAAAAACCCACCAGGTTTTCTTCATTAACATTCATTTCGTACATGGCATTCACTTGTAATGCTCATAACTCAAGACCCACGTGATTTACAGACGCCCCAATGTTCAAGGTATTCCTACAAACTCTACTACAACAGCCAGCAATGCTCTCGCTCTTGCTGGAAATCTCAATCCTCTTCTGAGTGGTAGCGGGTACGACAGTGCCATCCTGGTGCCAGAAGCCGGAGGCCGGTCCCTCAGTCCCATACAGGCAAATAGTAACAGCAATGACTTATGGTTTAGACTGAAGAACACAGGAGGAATGAGGCCTGGGACGAAAGGATTCCCTTTCCATCGCCTGAGGGCAGCACTGTCCAAGAGAAACACCATGGGAGCCACAGAGGCAATTTAGAAAATTGTAGAAACATGTTTAAAAGGTAAAAATGAGTAAAATTAATTTTAATGGTATATTTTATTGACCTTGATATGGAAATAGATACTTGCTATTGTTTTTCCCTTTTCATTCTTCAAAATCCACTTTGTAGTTTATATTTAAGAGCATAGCTTAACTCCAGCCTGTCTCACTTCAGCACCCAACAGCACTGAAGGCCCCTGGGAATACAGTCTGGTCAAAAGGAAGGCAGCTAAGCTTTCTGCAAAATGTGTGCAGAATGTACTGCTTGCAGACCTCGGCTAGGAGCGGGGAGAAATAACAGCCCACACTTACATGCACCCGCAATGACCATGATGTGAGCTTCAGGGAGGCTGGAAGAAAAACTGTATTCCCTGAGGACTGGGTAAATCCTGAACACCCATCTGTACCACACAGGGGATAAATGCTTTTCCACAGGGCTCCATTCTGCTAGAATCTCACAGGAACTCATCTGCTGCAGAAAGCAGCCGTGTGCCTTTGAACCTTCAGAATGTTACAAAGCACAAGGACTGGAAGCCACCTCAGGATGCATCTGACTACTGGTCACTGGGAAATCAGGGAGTGTGGATGGTGTCTAGGTTGCAGTGGGACATGGGGTCAACACAATTATTTTACAGTAACAAGGCCTTTGCACATTCCTATCTGTAGGTAATGAACCCTGTAAATTATCTGTTTAAAAATTACTTATACAACATAAAAAAGAAGTTAAAACACTGCCTACTCAGCTAACCACTAACCACCCAACCAACTGACCACCACCAACCAACCTCAATCAATCAACCACCAACCAAACACCACCAACCAATCAACCACCACCAACCAATCTATCAACCAACCAACAACCAATCAACCAACAATCAATCAATCATCCAACCAACCAGCCAATAAATTACCCAACCAATCAATCACCAACCAATCAACCACCAACCAACCAACATCAATCATCCAACCAATCAATTACCCAACCAATTACCAACAGCCAAACAAACAAACATCAACAACCAACCAATCCCTTTAAAAAACCAAGTTTTATTATCAGTAGCAGAGCGTGACTTAGCTCTAGAAGAATCTTGAGGATACTGCTCTCATCCTAACTGAAGGTTGAGTTCAAGTGGGAGAGAGAGGGTGCTAAAGAAATACTCTTGTTGCGGAGACTCTGACTACTTTTACTCAATTTCATTTCAACACGAATTCCTGATTACTCTTGTAGATGGGATTAAACAGATTCAACATCTAAATAATGAGAATGGGATTCTTTGTACATAAGTATTTATACTTTTAACAAATTATTTTTTCTAATGAAGCTACTAAGCAGAGAATGATGAAGCAGACCATTCATGTCCTAAGAAAATATAAGTTAACAATATACGGATAAATACTATGCCTTCCATTAACTACAGTAGCCATAAACATTGCTACAGATTTTAAACACCCCAAGGGAGGGCTTTTGTTTGTTTTGAGATAGGATCTCACTATGCAGATCTGGCTAGCCTGAACTTACTGTGTAGACCAGGCTGGCTAAAACGAAGAGATCTGACTGCCTCTGCCCCATGAGTATTAGGGCATGTTAAAGAGTTTTGTTTGCTTGCTTTTGACAAGTGAAAATGGAATGCAGAGTTTAGATTACATTGAATGTTAGCACCCACATGATCTAACTAATGGGAAATATTTGTTATTAAAGACTACATGTCAAAGAAAGAGTGGTTAGCACAAGTGAGGCTGGTCAGGTCCACCCACGCTGCTTGTTGCACTGATGACATCAAAGGGCTCAGCCCTGTCCTCCTCCAAAGATGCAGTCATGAGAAAATGGCAGGATGAATTCCAGGACATAGATCCTAAACTCACAGCAAGGACAGACACCGATGTCTCTCCTAAGCAGGACACACAAGCAAACTGTCCAGAAATTACCCATTTTAGGTACTATTTAGTATCTAACACCACAGAAGTCTTGGCACAGAAAAGAACGAGCCCAGCGAAGAGGCACAGATGAACTCGGGCATCACCAGTACGGAGCACAGGTCCCACATCTAACCAAGAGAGAAGCAGTTGATGGCACCCAGTTTCCTGCTTTTTCCAACCTCAGAAGAAGCTGGTTTGGTTTGAGAGCACTGAGTATGCGCGGTCCTACCTTCAACGAGGGTAGAACCTTTTAACCCAGCTGTCCATTTGTGATGGACCTGGGATTATGGTGAGGTTCTGATGGGCAGCTTGCTCTCACAGTGTTTATCAGAATGTTCCTGAGACTGCCTCAGAGTGCGATGGAGGGGTTCCCTCAGAAGGAAGGCCACGAGAGCTCAACTCTGCAGCAAAGACACACTCTGAAGTTGCAAGAAGTTTCCTTCTGGCTTCTTACCACCTTGAATTAAAACGTTTCACCTTCTTCATTTCTGAGAAGATCAGAACCAGTTGGGCCTACTCCCACACCCGAAGTTTGGTCTCTAAGCACCTTTCCTAAAAAACACTCTGGAGAATGGGCTGGAGTGAGGATGTGAGAAAATGCTTCTGAACTGTCTGTCTCACCAGAAATCAGTGATTGCTGGGTCCTGTCAAGAACACTAGCTTAAGGCCTTCATTAGTCCCTTTAACAACAGAAGCGTTGGGGAGAACAACAAAGGAAGCAGGGCACGGTGGGGCCTGCCTGTAATCCCAGCACTCGGGAGACAGGAGCACTGGATCTCTGTGATTGGTCAACAAACTGAGTCCAGGACGGCAGAGGCTACACAGAGAAACCCTGTCTTGAAAAATAAAACCAATAAATAAATAAGTAAACAAACAAACAGGGCACAGTCAGATTGTGACTGGCCCCTGAATCCTAAATGCTTACCAATTATGAACTACTTCAACTGTCACTTTTGAAGGAGGTTAATTATTTTGGTAACACACACTCACACACTCTCTCTCTCACACACACAGTACATCTTGCTGCTTCCCCGTAGAGATAGCCTAGCAGTAAACACAGGATGCTAAGACACCAGCAGCTGGCAGTTGGCACTAGACGTCCTTAAGCAGCACCACAGATGGGTGTCATCGGGAGCTCAGGCTCGGGCCTGTTTTACACCTCTGTCCACAAGCACACACTTTTCAAAGCACGCTCCCCACTACATACCAACCCCAAATGCGAGTCCGAAAACTCAAGAGATGCACAGAGGAGTTCAGGTTATGGAAACCCTGTAGGGTGAAAAACACTATTCCTCCAACAAGTAAACTGTGTCAGGAGAGGTGGAGGAGGCGAGGCGGGAACTAGCAGCAAAGACCATTCAAAACTCCAATCAACTCAGTTAAGGTCCTCCAGCTGGAGTTGGACCCAAGCGGTTACAAAACCCATTCTACTGGGAGATGGGAGCACTGACTGCATTTTTTTTTTAAATTACCTCTCAACTACATATGTCTACATGCATATAAAATACATTTGCTCTCACACACCGGGAGATATGAAAAAAATAGTCCTTAGGATTGTACGGGAGGGCAGAATGGCTCAGAGGGGCTCTGTGATGCTATTCTGTATCGATTATCTTGAAAATGTAAAAATGAAATACGCTATAAAAAGTCTCTTTCTGGCTCCGAGTTAGGCCACACAGGCAACACCTCATCCCTTTCTCTCAATATGTCATAAAGTCAAGTGAGGTCTTTGAAAAGCGCGAGGTCTCAAGCCAAGTTGACTGAGGATGAAAAGAGTGGTCCCTAAAACACCAGTGTTGACACAGGCCTAGTGACGGAGCAAGCACTCATCTACCGGACCTGGAGGCGATGTCTGAACTGTGTAAGGTACAGTCATTGGTTAAGGCAAGCGTCAGGCACGGCTAATATCAGTTTGAAACAGATACTTTTAATTTTTGCTGATATCGTCAGATGTAAAGGAAAGGACTACCAAGTCAACAGTGGCCACGGCTACATTTAATGAGGAGGACAGACTAGCTGACAGACTAGGGTTCGGGTACTAAAATGACTAGCGTGAATGGGAAAATGTGCCGTGCGATCTGTGGTGACAGGGCTCTCTAACTGCTCTTGATAAATACAACAGTTAAAAGCATTTTCAAGGCAATTCAATAAAACCGATCACACCAAGCAGAGTTATTGATTGGCTCAGGACAGATACATTATTGAAACGGCTGATGTCTAGTATTTAAATCAAAACAGATTGCTGATCTCAAAGACTCTCGCTGCTTTCCCACCCCACCAGGCAGGGATAAAGCTTCGGCTAATAAAGCACTTTCCACAGTGTGCAGGGCGCTGCTGCTGCTCGGGACCCACCAGTGAGCGTCTTGCTCAACATCATTCAGAGTGAAGTTTTGTTTTTTGAAGTTGAAGCAACCGCTTTGAAGTAAATCGCCCTTTCAGATTTGTACTGAAAGTAGGTGGGGAATAGCTTTCAGGCTTTTCTTCCTTAATGTGACTATTTCCACAGATGGCTCCCTATGAAAATTAATGAACCGAGTGGCCTTACAGGAAACGGCACGCAGAAGAACAGGAATTACAGTCAGAGGGAAGGCCCGGCAATCCAAGCGGAGGGCTGTAGCGGGCATGCTGTAGTGGATGCCAACCTTAGCTGCTCACGTCACCTCTGCAGCGGCCTTAGACAAAACTGCCATTTGAGCATCACGTGAAAATACGATCAAGGAAATCTACCATGTGCTTCAACACCAAGTAATTAGACAGATGCAAAAATGCATGAGTTTATTATACAGATGAGAGAGAATGGGCCAGAGGGACAGAGAAAACAGTCTATTCAAACCACAGTGCCAGTCCCCAGGCCAGCAGTGACATGCCTTGCTTGGAAAAGAAAGCTAATCGAGATACAGTCCTGCATTAAAAACACAAGCTAAGAGGCCATTGTGGGCAACACCAGGGAAATCCAAAGACGGGCTACATTTATTTGGGCTATATAAATGTGTTGCACGCGCCATCATCACGTTTCTCAGGGGTTAAAGCAAGCAGCATGATGACACAGGCATGACAGTAATGTATTTCTGCCTAACTTTCTTTAGGGAAGGGTGTCAGCCTGGCCTTTAAACACATCAGCAAAGAGACAGAGCTGATGCCACGGTTCTGTCCAATCTAGGAGCTGGTGCGAGGCTGAGCACTGGGTTTCTTCCAACTTTGCTGCACATCTGAGTCACTTCCTGAACTAAAAAAAAAAACCAAATAAACAACTATACAACTATCATGTTTTAGGGAGTGACAAGATGCCTGGAACAGTGGGGCAGATCTGATGCCTAGGTCAGTGACACTTACTATGAATGGGGAGTCTCAAGATGAATGGCAAGGCTCCACAGAGGAAGGAGAAGGCAGCAAAGGAGAGTGCCTCCAGAAAATACATCAGGAAATGGCTGATGTCGAATATTTAAATTGTGGGACTGCTGGTCTCAAAGATTCAAACTTCTTTCCCACCCTAACGCTAATAGTAGTGCTTCTAAGCATGTAGAGGTCAAATGTCATCTTTTCCTACCTTCTCAGAAAAGAGTGAGTCACCTAATATTCCTTACTAGTTGGGCAAGCTTGGCCCAGTGGCAACTATGTCCATTTCTTTGCATGTCAAACAGAAATAATATACCTGCAAAGGCAGGGAGGTGGGGAAGAGCTGAGATGAGGCGAGCTAACTGTGATAGTAGTATCTTTTCTCTCATAAAGCGAGTGAGTTTAAAAACGTCATTTGCAGGGCCAGGGGGATGGCTCACGACCCAGAGAGTGCTTACCACACAATCATGAGGACAAGAGCCCGGCCCCACTTCATAGCTGGATGTCTTAAAATGCCCAGAACCTCACCCAAGGGATCTGATGCCTTCAGCCACTGTGCTTGCACCCACACATGCTCACAAGTGTGTGCATGCATACACACACACACACACACACTAAATAAAAATCTAAAACCTACCATTTGTTTAGACTACATTTTATCTTGGTTTATGCCTCCACCTTTTATGGTACAAGAACGAAAGGAGATTTTGGCAGGGTTCCAATTTTGCCACCCAGCTTTTGAGTGCGAACCAGCTTTGGTACATAATTACATACAATCCATCTCTAGTCAAAAATACTTAATCTGAATGTAACGAACCAATTAGTCACGTACAGCTCCCTCTCCAGTATGACCTGAACTTAAAACACATGTCAGTGTCACCAAAGAAAAACAAAGGCAGAATAAGACGTGATTAAATAAACGAAGCAAAAGACTCGCCTTCCTAAGGGGTCTCGGGCCAAAGAAATGAATAAATCAAAGTTAGACGTGTTAGGGACACACGAGCAACCTGCTCTGTATGTAGAAATATCGTGTCAGCAACAAGCTTCCTGCAAGTGACAATGTTAGAGTCATACACAAAAGTATCCTTGGGGTTAGAAGGAACATGTTGTTTGCAGCCGATTTCCAAATGATTCATAAAACAAATGATAAGAAGGCAAAAGTACATAAAAGAAAACAGAAGACCCAAAGGTCAGATGGGTGGGAGTTCTGCCTGGCCCAGGGTATGGGTGGCTAGCATTCTGTTTCAACTCTTTGTACACTTCAGTTTTTCAAAGTCGTAAGAGGCTGACAAAAATGCTGGATGAACAAAATAAAATACAAATAAAGTTGGCAAATAATGAGAAAGCATATGAATTTTTCATTATTAAAATTATATATTACATAAAGCCAAATTTTTAAACCAAGATAAATTCATCATGCTTTAATATTGAGACATTACTTATTTATATTTCTAAAGAAGAACCTTAAACTTTATTTTTTTAATTAAAACTTTATTATGAGGAACTTGCAAATAAAAACTTTAAATAAAGTGGACTTAACTGCATGATAAAAAGTCTTGCTACAGAATTTCCTTTGGATAAAAAAAGCAACAACTTCTAAAAATGGGATAGATTAAAATATATATATTGCTGGAAAAGATAACAAAACTAAATTCAAGTCCAGACAAATAAGGGGAAAAATGGTTCCCAGGTTTTCAGAAATATGACTATTATGTAAAATTCACTCGTGACTTTATGTCAAGTCCAGCCACACGTCTTCATGGTGAAGCACGGAAAAACACTAAAACCAATCGGGATTTGGGTCTGGAAACATCGTTCAGAACAGTCTAGGGAAGGGCACGGTCAGGGGAGGGTGGTTCTGATCAACACTACATTTGGCTAGGGAGCTGAAGTCAAGACTGTCTTGAAACCCGGTCTGTCCTGCACTGACTTACCTCCCTACAGAACTGTAAGCGAAGAACACGTAACTAGATTATTGCAATGCGGCTTTGTTGCACGAAGCCCAGGTGAAGACCCTCAGCAGATTCCCCGGTGGGAAGGTCCAAGGGCAGCAAATGGCTTCATGTGCACGGCCAGGCTTTCCCATGCTGGCAGAGGTTTGGACAACTGCCCATTCATCCCACGAGAAACTCAAAGGTCTTTCTGTGAACTCATTTGAATATTGACTAGAAAGAGCATCGTCATAACCCGGGCTAACGATTTATGTTTACATCATCCCTTAAGTTCACGGAAAAATATAAATAGCTTTTTAGAAGGACTCTTTAAAGTTTATTTTTATTCATTTGTCTCTGGGAGTGTATATGTCACGTGGGTGCCCGTGCCCTCAGAGGCTAGAAGAGGGTACAGATTCCCCTGGAGTTGGACTTACAGGTGGTTTGTGAACTGCGTGATGTGGGTGCTAGGAACCAAACTCGGGTCCTCTGCAAGGGCAGAAAGCTGTCTCAACCAATGAGCCAAGTCTCCAGCTCCCACAAATATCTTCTCAAGGTGGGGTCATGCTCTGGGCTTTGAGACCTGTGTGCTAGCGTGCTCTCCCAATTATTATGAGTTCTTAGGGAATAGATGGTGATCTGTTTCCCATCAATAACTTCTACCATGCAAAGGAAGAGAACATTCAGCTAACAACCCATCTCCACAGCCCTTGCCTCCTTTTCCCTATGACTTCAAGGATGTCAAGAACATACACGAACATGAACTTCACGAACCACAATGCCCTTGTTAACACAGCATCTCAAAGGGCTGGGGCCACTCACCTTGTCAATGGGAACCACCAGAGTCGGTTCCACTTTTGCTTCAATTTCTTCGGGACCATAAAAACAGCGGAGTTTGCCCCCTCTCAGAGCACAGTAGAGCCTTCTCCAGCCAACCAGACCTTTTCCTGTTTGCTGTAAGGGCGTAAAAAAAAAAAAAGAAAAAAAGTCAAGCAATTATCAATTTAAATCACTACCATCTTAACTCTAAACCGAGCTCGGTATTTACACAATCAGTCAAGGTTTCAGAACTTTTAAAATGCGACAGAATTAGCCATTCATCGGCTGTACCGTGAGCCTGAGTACCCCAAATCTAAGCGCAAAGAAGCCTGGAATTCTCAGACGCATTAAGCAAAATGAAGGTAATTATTACCACACAATTTTATACACAGAAAATCATAAATCAACACAGATTTGGGAAAGCTAGTCTATTAAAAATCTAGTGCTTAGAATTCCACAGCAATTCATCAAAGGACTCGGGGAAATTATAAAAATAACTCTCTCCACACTGGAAATAATTTCCCTTCACTTCTTTCGGAACACTAGAAAATGTTGACTACCTGGTAAGAATGCAAATTTTCTTTCCTCCTAATGGAATCTTTTAGAAAAAAAAGCTATTGATTCACTGGAGCCCACAATTAATTATTTACTGAATATAAATAACCGTGGCTATAAATAAATCAGGAGTAGGTGGCACAGAGGCAGCTCTGGAAGCCCAGAGGCCCAAACGGTGCCAACCGTTGTCTGCCAGAAGGGCCTTTATGTGAGAGGTGCTGGGCAGCCGGAGTCAGTTTCCATGAGAGAACCGCTGCCACAATGCTGTGGGATGGGGAACCGGAGGGGACTGGAGAGGCAGCCCCAGAGTCACGCGGACCCAAGCGGGTCCTCCTCCTGTAGCCACCCTCAGCACCCCACACCTTCCGCGGCTCCTGCCCAGTGACGGTCAGAGAACTTCCAGACAGGCCGCCAGAGAAAGGCTGTGCCCTCCAGAGTCCAGTGGGCGCTCCCCGGCTGAGATGGCCCCAGGGCTCTACCTGCTCAGTCAGGAATCCTGCAAACGCATCTTCGGCCATGCAAGCTGGCTGGGCCACCAGCCGGCAGCACACATTGCCAAACAAGGGGAGCCAGAAGGAACACTCGTCTGTTTAAAGAGGAGAAACGGCTAGTTACAAACACACGCTTATGGTTGCTACACGTTCCAGAATTTTCCTTTTTCTGATTTTTTTTTTTTTTTTTTTGCTTTCTTCAGTAACATTTTAAAATTAATTTTACATAAAGGGTCATCTGCCTGTATACTGATGGAATACTATAGGATAAAGGAACACGTGGAGAGGTCAGGGGGGGCCCGGACCACCAGTGCGGTCAACTGGGAGAGCAGTGGCCTTCAGTCTCTTGACCTCAGAAGTAATTATTCAAGGAATAATATAAGAAGGAATTGTTATTGTTCAGAGTTTAATAAAAATCCGTCAATAAGTGATTTGTGGTCAGCAAATCTCACTTCTTGCTCTAATGTTCATTATAATAATTAGCAAGGCGAACTTCTAAATGGCACATTATTTTACCCACATTGGGACATTTAAACATTTTCCACTTCTTTCCTTTCTCTGACTGAACAGGTAATTGTGAGCCATGAGAAGCAGCCTTCAGTGTGAGCCATTAGTGTGAGAGGGTGGGGAAGAAACTGTGAGGTGTGTACTGGGTGATGTCATCAAGCAGCCTGAGGAGGGACAGGAGGAGGGAGAGTGAGGCGAGGAGGAGGGGGAGGAGCACTGCCAGTGCAAGGCCTCAGAGCTTCGGAGAGCTGGCCAGGGGCGGTCACACCATGGCAGAAGCTTAGACAGGGCTGTCTAGCCTAGAAAGAGCAGAATGAGAAGGGTGCGTGCGCCTGGACAGGTGGCCTGGGGAGAGGGGTCACGACCCAGCAGTGGGTCCCCTCGGCAGCGTGAGAGCACTAAGTGAGAGGGGGCAGAGACCGAGGTTCCCCATCGGGGATGCAGGAAGGGGAAGAACACGATGGACTCCATCTTGGTATCCCAGGGGGCAAGCAAGTGCTCCGGGATCCCCGTGGCCACATCTGCACCAGTGAACAGGCCACTGGCACCTGCGCTCCTCTGACTGCGAGGCCAGTAAGGGATGTCTGCTTCCGCGTCTCAGAGCCGCCTGCTCCAGCCACAGAGTATGTATTAATTAGGACGGAATCAAAGGACAACCTTAACGTTGTCAGAAGCTTGACAGCAACCACCTTAACCCCCAACTGGCACAGAGCGTGGTCATGAAGACATAGTCAAGTCACATTGTGAGCCAACGCCCGGCAAACCCAAAAGAGGGCATCCTACCAAGTACCCGGCAATTCTCTTTGAAAATGCCACGTCTGTGAGCGTCAGGAGGGAGGCTTGGGAACTGACGTGGAGGCAATGCGTCCTTTTGACAGAACATCACTGGGTGGAGAAAGCATGGAGTCTGCACATTGGAAGGGGCTTCGCTTGCTGGTGGGTGTGGTGGTGATGCAGCCAAATGGCTCAATGGTACTTAATGCATGTTAAGATTCTTCGGGGTTTATGAAACATGCTGTGAGCAATGTGGTATCCTGTGTGTGTATGTGTGTATGTGTGTGCTCATGCACGGTGGTGGGGAAACCTTGACACAAAACCAACCAAACAAAAACCCACACTGACGGCATTCCTCCAATGCAGTATGGCATTAGGTCTGGGCATATATCCCTCCCACCCAAACAGAAGGAAAGTACTGGGTAAAGTATTCTGGGTACCTCGGAGTATGACCAAATATCCAATACATGCCCTCACCTCACACATGAAGGAGATTTCTCTCAATGTTCATTGCAGCCTGATAGCTACCTGTTGGCTGAGATCATTATTTACTTAAAGCCTTGGTAAAAAATATGGTTACTTCATGTTCTAGTTTGCTTTCTGTTGCTGTGATGAATACAGTTCAGAGATAAAAGGTTCATCTCTGCTTACACCTCCAGGTAACAGTCCATCCTTGAGGGAAGTCAGGGTTGGAGCTCAAGGCAGGAACCTGAAGGAATGCTGCTTACCAGCTTGCTCTCTGGCTTCTGCACAGCTAGGTTCCTTATATAGCCCAGACCCACCTGCCTAGGGTTGGTAACTACCCAAAGTGGTCCAGGCCCTTCCTGTATCAATTAGCAGTCAAGAAGATGCTACGCAGACATGCCCACAGACCTATCTGGTGGAGGAAATTATTCAAAGAGATTCTTTCTAGGTCTGTCAAGATGATATTAGAAACTAAACAGGACACTGAGTGTACACTAAGATATACGGTAGCTGAGGTTTAATTATCAATAAAGGGGAAAAACTAGCCCAAATAAAGCTAAATAAACCAGCATAAAGTAAAACTAAGGTGTCTTGGCAACTTCCCCATGCATCAGCCTGGCACATAACATACTTTCTGGGACTAATAAAAACTGTTTTTATTCAGGTCTTAGTAAAGGTGACGTGGCAGGGAACACGTGTCTACACAAAACACACAGTGACTCCAAAGTACAGACACAAAGTATAGACGCTTACAGCAGTAAGCGGGAGCCGCCATTTCTAAAACAAGCAGTAAACAAAATAAAAACTCTCCATAGCCAAGTGTCTGAGCAACACATAAATTTCTTTTATGTAGCGATCTCAAATTTATGAATGGCTTATGTTGTAAATATCTGTGAGTTGCTTATTTTTAAGTTAGAATGTAACTTCCCCAAGACACAGAATCATAAATGATTAGATTCTCTGACAAGTCCATAAAGTTTGTGCAATCAATAATGCATCTGAACCTAACACATCACATCTAATAATGCGCATCTCATAAAATGAGCTCAGATTTCACGGAAGGAAGGGAAAATTCTTGCTTCCTGCAGCATCCCTGAGGGGGGATGCTGGATTCAGAAGCCCCTCGTGCAGCATCCTTCCGAGGGGATGCTGGATGCAGAGTCCCCTTCTGCCGCATCCCTGAATGGGGCTGCTAAATGTGGACTCTGTTCCTGTCGTATTCTTGAGAGAGGGCGCAGGTGTGGTAGAGTCTCTTTCCTGCATCCTCCTCGAGAGGGGATGCTGGGTCTCTAAGTCCACAGAGCGCTTGTCATGTACTCTGCCACTCCTCTCCTAGGCTTTCTCACGGCTCCAGACCCCTGAGAAATAAAACAGCCACACCTTCCCTGTGCTTCTTTCTCACAAGGAGGAGGGTCTCTGGGACACTCACTTAGCCTATATACCAATTTCTACAGTTAAAAAATACCCCCTGCCTTAGGCAGGGTCTCTATGTTCATAATACATGTATGGCATCGATCACGTGCCTGGCACACGACAACTGCCTCTCTGATCACACCCCAGGGCAGCCTCTCTGCCACAGTCCACTCCGTCCACGTCTCCAGGCCACTCTCAATCCTTGTGTCCAACACATCTGTGAAAACAATTCATCATTTCTTTCTATCCAAGGGACCCAGAAAGACAGGATGGACAGGAAATGAAAGTACCAACTATGTCCAATAAAATACCTTTTAAAAGTGAAGTCAAAAGTCCTTGAAACCCCCCAAAAAAACTTCCAAAAAGAAACTTTAAGGATTGTTTGAAGAAGGAAAGGAATGCCAAGTTCAAGATCTAAAAGCCAAGTAGTCCTTATGAACACTTAGAAAAGGGGGTAAGTTTAGGTCAACAGTCCAAGCTCAAAGTACCCAGTGAAATTTAAAAACAAACAGAATTATATTCTACAGTAAGAATTCACTAATTAGGAAATGGAGTCTAACTGTCCTAAAGCTTTTACATGGTCTGGGAAAAAGCGAAAACCATCTCTTACTGTTTACTTTGGTGATTTATAATTTAAAGGTAATTTCTGAGATATTACAACATACTGTATAACTCTACCAACAGAGGAAAATTTGAATGACAAAAGCAATTACCCTTTTTTTGAAGAGGCAGGCCTAGGATGTGAAAAAAAGAAATCTATACACATACATATAGATACATATATGCATATGTATACATAAGAGTAAAAATAAAACACAATTTAAAAAATGATACGCACCAAAAGAGAAAGACTCAAATTACACCAAGCAAAATAGAACAACCATGAAAATTGGAATGCAAAACCCGATTTGCTCACACCTCCTGTCACGTAGACTATGTAAACCCACCATTATTTCTAACACATAACTGACGTGCTGGTGGATAAGGCTGATGGGCCTGTTCTGGGATTGAGCACTAAAACAAAGATGAAAAGCCGGGCACGGTGGCGCATGCCTGCCTGTAATCTCAGCACTTGGAGATACAGAGGCAGGCAGATCTTTGTGGGTTCGAGGCCAGCCTGGTCTACAGAGTGAGCCCAGGAGAGCCAAGGCCACGCAGAGAAACCCTGCCTCGAAAAACCAAAACCAAACCAACCAAACAAAACACCAAACAAACCAAACCAGAAACAAAACAAAACAAAACCCCCAAAGATGAAAAGAAGTGAGGACGAGAAACAGACCAGGGGCAGACAATGCTGTAGGGCTGTATAACAGAAGATGATGCAGGACATTTCATGTTTATAAAGTTCAAGTTCAGATCGGGTCCGCGTGGACCTACGAAACTTTTTGGAATTGACTCAAGACAGGAGAAAGCAGAGAGCTGGCAGTTAGTTGGAAGCAAACAGGGTGGCAGTGCGGCAGACCTCATGGAGGAGGAGCAGAGGCACGCCACTAAAGGTTTAACACTTCCACCTGCAGCCCACACACAGTCCAAGCCAGGGCACCCGGGAAGGACATAAAAGACCAGCAACAACCCGAATGCCACGAAGCTAGGGCACCCACGTCCCAGGGAGACGTGGTATCGGGGAAGACGGGTGTGCAGAGACTTTCCTTAAAATGGTTACATTACACATTTTACAGCCTGTCACCTTCCCTCTTTTAGTAAATGGTCTTATAACTTAAAAAAAGTCACCATGAAATCACCCATCCATTAGCACTGGGACCTCTGAGCTTTACAGCAGTGAGCATGAAGTGGCAGCCGTGAGCTCGCACGCTCTTATAATGCTTCCCCTAGAAGACATGTAAACTCAGTTCCTCCAGCTGAGCTCCTCGGCCAGCACTGTTCTGCGATACCCCATCCCAGGGACAGCTGGCCAAGTGCTCACAGACCTTCCCTGCCATCTAAGCTTCTATGACATATTCCCAAAGATTCCTTTCAGAAAAAAAAAAAAAGAAAAAGAAAAAAATTACCATTATTATTCAACAAGGGGAGGGATGATAATGAATGGAACCATACTTCCTTCCTATCCTCTGCTTTCTATCAACAGAAGGGGTGGCTGCCTGGGTTATTGACTTTAAAAGCAGACACATCTGACTGTTCAGCTGGCAGAGTGGAGAATCATCAATGCTGGGTCACAGATACGGACATGGAATACTTCAGGTCTTTCTACTGTAAGTCAGATTTAGAAGAAAAAAAAAACAACTTTTATTTTTTTCTCCTCTGGAGGAGAAAGGCACGCTGGAAAAGAACCAGACTCATCCATGTGTGTATTTACAAAGCCAGTATCTCCTCCAGGGGGACATCCTAAAGTTAGAAACTACCGTCGCCACATGTGCAGACCTGATAAACAGCAAATAGCACTCACCATCTCCGTTAACAGACAGATTGTGGGTCTTGAAGCAGTCCCCGGCACTGTCCAAGGTCAGGGTGGTGTGAGCTAGCAAATGGTACTTCACACCCCTGGGAATGAAAGAGAAGACATCTTGAGATATCCTTAGGTATTGTAACCGTGAGGTCAACTATTCAAATATTCAACAAAATAAAATGAACAATGAACCTGATCTTTCAAAAACAGGGCAAGTGATTCAAACTTGACATTTCTCCAAAAGCACACAGGAGGCCCAAAGCAGCAACAAAGCATGTTGAACAGTTCCAGGGTTAGTCAAGCATGAAAAGGCACCCTCCAACTAACACCTACTGCTGGGGAAAATGACCACTAGTGAAAACGAATCTGGGGTAGAGGTACAGAGCCTAAGGAATGTTCGCTGGGGTGTGGAGGATCTGGAACCTTACACATCTGCCAGGGGGAGGGGAGCAATGAAGCAAACTTAAAAAAAAAAAAAACAACTCCAAAACTAAAAGAAAAGAAAAAAGAAAATTCACAACGTGACCCAGCTGGTCTGATTGTGAACTCCTGCCCACAAGAATGGAAAACAAGAATAAATATGTGTGCTCTGTGTTTACAGAGCATTATTTACAAGACCTGGAAGGCTGAAAAAACCAAAGTGCTCATCTAGGAATGAATGGATGAATGCTGTCTACCTGCCTACCTATCACTCTATCTACTGATCACCTACCATCTTCTATCCATATACTGGAAAGGATTACCTAACCTTCAAAAGGAGGAGAATTCTGACACATTCTATACACAACATGGATGGCTTTTGAGGACAGTATGCTAAATGAAATATTCCTGCTGCAAAAGGACAAATCTCAGTAGTTCAGCACTTAGGGAGTAGAGCAATAGCTGGGCTGAGTGGGGTAAAGGGAGGGGTCAGGGCTGAAAGGGTGTGGAATTTCAGCTTAGGGAAGCTGAGAAAGTTCTAGTGATGGTGGGTGGGGGTGGCCGTTCAGGACAGCAAACTGAACATACTTTGGACTCCTGAACTGTATTCTCGAAAACTGTTAAACAAACAGGCAACTTAAGTCGCATACATTCTGCCATCATAAAAATGAAAAAAGTTGAGCTCTTTATCAGACACACGTGCCCTATGGTCTCAGCACGTTGGAGGCAGAGCCAAAAACTGTGATCCTGGTCTCCAGATAGGACCTTATCTCAGGGTTTCCCCATCCCCAAGTATATATCTAAATAATAAATAACTTAAGAATTTCTGCCCCCCAATATATATATATATATATATCCATTATTATTATATAATGGATCCATTATTATATATATATATAATAATGGATGACAGATTTATAGTCAGTACAAGCTATTAACCAATTTAGCTGCTTTAAGGCTCTCCATTTTCCCCTACAGTTTGCTAAGCCTTGTGCTAGGTGATGGGCCTTTGGTTGTAAAGAGGACCCAAGGTTGTATTCCGGCGCAGGCAGGAGGGAAAAAGGAGCAAAGAGCACCAACACAAATATATAAAGTACCGGCAACTCCTAGTGGTGATGAAGCCTTTTCTATGAAAGAGACAAAGTGGGTGCGAAGGACCATGCCCAGAGGTAAGTTAAGAGAAAGCGTCTCTGAGGACGTGGGGTAGCACTTGCGCAGTTATAGAGAGACCTCAAGGTTGGCGGAATACCCCAGCGGGTAAATGACTTGGCTTGCCAGCATGAGGGCCCACATCCAGGTCCCCAGCACCCACGCAAAAGTCACGTGGCACACACCTGTACTCTCAGCACCGGGTGCCAGAGATGGGTGGATCCCTGGAGGTCGTTGGAGAGGCCCCCTAACTAAATGGACGAACTCCAGGCTGAGTGACGGGCCCCCCAAATAAAGCGAAGAGTGATCAAGCAAGACGCTCGCTGCTGACCTTTGACTCAGACAAGCACGCTGAGCACACACACACACACAGACATACTCTAGATCCTGCGGAGAAAAGGATTCAAGAAACCCTGAGGCGATGTGGCCTGTGCGGGGAGAGCTGGAAAAACAACTACAGAACAGAAATGGACGCAGAACTGTGTCTGGCACACACGGGGTATGGAGAGATCGGACAACACGGGGCTTCATGAACCGCAGAAGAAGGGTGGGCTGACGTCTAAGTGGAAGGGGAAGTCATGGCAAGGGAGGTGGCTGGCCAGACCCAGAGCGACATGGACTTCTCAGGGCAAGATCTGACGAAGACCCACCTTGACCAAACCCTTGCCAGGCTTCTGTGAGGCCTCTACGGAACTAGGCCAACCCAACACCGATATTCTAAGAGCTCATGGTCTGAGGCTGCGAGCTGAGCGAAGGACTTCATGCTGCTGGTTCCAGCCCACCTCTAAAGACTGGCTCCAGCCGGTTTGGACAGCCTAACTCACTGCTGCCCCACGTGCTAAGAGGAGATACGCTGCACCCAAACCCACTCTTCTTGTGGCTCTTTCACAGTTTCAGTTCCTTGACTCTGATCCCCGGAGGGGAGGGGCCGCTGTCACATCTCATGGTGGTCCATTGTGTGCTTTGTATTAACACAGCACTCACTCTGGAGATGAAATTTGTATCCTGGAAGTCAATGGTTATAAAAATTGAATTTGGAACAGGGGTTGTGTTAGCTCAGTGGTAAAACTGTTTGCCTAGTGTGTATGAGGATCTAAGTTCAATGCCCAGAACAGGATAAACAATCAGTCAACAAATGTATGTATGCATGTATAAACAAACAAACAAATGTATGTTGTTGATATGAACATGCTTTTGTTTTGGTCCCAGGCATGAGATGTGGGGCTGATTCAGATGGTCCATAGCAGCAGACTATTTGCCTCCTGCCGGCTCTGAGAGGAGCTCTTTGCCAGCTACAGATAGTTTGAATCTCAGGAATCTGGAGAGAAAATAAATGCCAGAGCCTAGAGAGTGTGGAAAAGTGAAAGAACAAGGCTGCTCCAGCTTCCCTCTTGCTGCTCCTAGTTGCTGTTGTGAAACAAGAAGTTGAAGATCTCCTGAAAAGAGAATTAGACTGGCTCCAAGGAACCCCACGACCCTAAGCAGCAGGAAGCAGCTAAGAAAGAACTGTGCCTCCTCTCCCACTAACCCTTTCACTCTCCTACTTGGTGTTAGGGTGTTGGAAGGGATTATAGTGGAACAGGGAGGAAAAAAAAAATAAAGACGTAAATAAAAGAGTTTTTAAAAAACTAATGCCAACAAATAAATAAGTAAATAAGTAAGTAAATAAATAAATAAATAAAATTTCTGCCCCAAAATAACAATTGTATTTTCTGTGCCAGTAACCTTAATTTTATGAGTTTTCTTATTTTCCTGAATAGTAGAATCTCAAGGAGCATGTTAAAGGTTTACATGTGCACACACAGATATGGACCAACTCTTGGGGAGAAGACAGTTTCTGACAGGAATTGTTATTCACCATGTCAGGTGATGTTTCACAAACTTAGCTCCCATTAAATCTTTAACCACATCCCTATAATAAAAATGTGCACTGTTAGCAAACGCACAGGCATTCTTTAATGGGCTCCCTAAAAAAAAAATAAAAATAAAAAATGCACACACAGCAAGCATACAGGGATGCATTCCATCTCCTCTAAAATAAAAGGAGGCATGTATGTCTGTGTACCATGTGTGTGTGCTTGGTTCGCATGGAGGCCAGAGGAGGGCCATAAGGGTGCCAGGAACAGAAGCCAGGTCCTCTGGAGGAACAGCCAGGGCTCTGAACTACTGAGCTGTTGCTCCAGCCTGTTCTCTTGGTTTTTCATTGTATAATCCTTACCAGCCAGAGTAACTTCCAGCGCACAGCGTTTCGGGTTAACGTTTACGCAGAAAAAAAATTGTGCTTTCATCTCCAGATCTCAAGCCGGGCCTCCAGACTTAGCTCGATTTTGCACATGGTCACCGGGAATCACATTGCCACCAACAAGGTCACTAGCCTCATGCTCTGGGTGAGCTACCCTCTGCTAGCCCCGCCTGCTCCACGTGGGCTACCCTCTGCTAACACTGACATACACTGTGCACATTTCCATGGAGCCTTTCGTAATTAGCCTTTATTTTCCCCTAACATCTACGTGAGTCCCCGCCCTACCCCTCGCAAAATTGAGCAAGTCCTGAAGAAGGCCAGAGAATGACTCAAAGTAACTGAAGACCACAATCCTAAGGAGAGAGGCTAATGACACCCAAAGCTGCCTGTTAATACGATGCCAGCTGCGTGCTAACAAGGTATAATATATGACGTGCCCTCCCCAGATGCTCATTCGTTTTATGGAACCACATTTTTGAAAACTATAAGTGTTTTAAATTGATAAAGCAATATCATTTTCCCTTGTGAAAGGAAAAGAAAAAGGCTTCCTATCAACTACTGAACACAGAATGTGCTGTCTTTTGGAAAAGGATTACCGGCAGCGAGATAGAATTGTCTGTGTTGGCCGCTGAGGCTACGGTGAGCAAAAGAAGGGTGGAGGAGTGCTCTCTTACAAGGAAAGAAAAACAGAATCAAAGCAAAACAAAACACTCAATTATATGAGGTATATGAGGCTAGGTAAGGCATGGAAGGAAGGTTAAGGTGGAAGGAGGCTGTTTCACAGGGGCAGGGGAAAAGGAAGACCCTGACATACAGGTCGTGTTTGTGTGGAGACCTGAATGGAAGCAATGAGCCATGAGCAGAGAAGGACATGCATCTCAGTCAAAGGAGATGACCAAGGCCACGGGAGCACACGCCAGGCTTGGCTCAGACAGCCAGGTGGTGCTGTGGCTGGACTCTAGTGAGGAAGGATGGTAATGGCAGCTGTCCAGTGGGCCAGCAGGGGGCAGAAGCTACACACAGCCGTATCTGGCGGGCAGGATAAGGACAGGATTGCTCTCTGAGTGACACCTGGAGCAAGTATGCTGGGTTTCGGGTTAGAGGCAGCTGCTGTGGTCTGCGTTCTACCAGAAGGAAGTGGTCCGTGTAGCTATGTGGAGGACAGATTTGGGGGGAACTACAGCAAAAACAGAGACATCAAGTAGGCTGGATGCAGGTCAGGGGGGTGAGGAAGGAGGTGACATTCCTCGAACCTTCTCAAAGCTGACTCCGTGTGAATGCAGC